TGGACCACTTCACACTCCAGTGCAGCTGGCACCCCACCCCCCATGCCCCCAACCCCTGGCCTCCCCGCCGGGATCTCAAAGGCCCCAATCTATATACGGTGATGTCTGTCACTGGAGAGGCTAAAGCATCAGGACCTGCCCAGGCATTTCTGCAGCAGAACTAGAAGAGAGAAGCCTTGCACTGCTCCCAGCTCTGTCCTCTCACCATTCCACCCAGCCCACGTGCAGGAAAACTCAGAGGCTACTGGCCTGAGGCCATCACCACTGTTTCCATCACGCAGGCCCAGGGCAGTGTCTAGGCGAGATGGCAATGTCTGTTCGGAACTCCTCCCCCAGTGCCCTGGCCTTTCCACCTGCCAGGGAGGGCTCGGCTGTCCTCCCAGCTGTCTGCTGCTTCCTCTTTCTGCTCTCTCATTCTCAAGCCTTTCTAGTGTAGCAAGGTGGAACTACCTAGCAAACCAGACTTCAGATTTTTGGGCCAAGTCCAGCTCATTGTTACAGACAGTCTTTCTTGGGGATTGTGAGGTAGCTTCCAGCCTCATAGTGGGTATCTGGTTGATTAGCTCTGCCGGCCACATGCCTAAGTGGGAATAAAGGTGACATGTAGCATGTTTGCACCAATATGGACCCTACTTTTACATCAATCCAGTGAAATAGAGCTCAAAGAGTTTCGCCAAAAAGGGCTGAAAGTCTGTGGTTCACAGCTTGGCCATAGCAAAGCATGAGTAAAATGTGGGGGAAAGTATTTGGTTTTGGTGATGATGATCATAACCCACGTTTTTATTTTCTACCTTAAGGAAAAAAAAATGTTTTTGGTAGAGGTAGGACTTAGTTATCATTTAAATAACTGATTTCTGTTATACAGCAGAAACTAACACCACATTGTAAAGCAATTATACTCCAATAAAGATGGTAAAAAAATTACAGATTAAAAATAAGTAAGGGGCTTCCCTGGTGGCGCAGTGGCTGGGAGTCCACCTGCCGATGCAGGGGACACGGGTTCGTGCCCCAGTCCAGGAAGATCCCACATGCCACGGAGCGGCTGGGCCCGTGAGCCACGGCCGCTGGGCCTGCGCGTCCGGAGCCTGTGCTCCGCAACGGGAGAGGCCACAACAGTGAGAGGCCCGCATACCGCATTTAAAAAATAAATAAATAAGTAAGTAAGTAAATAAATAACTGATTTCATGTACTTTGGATGGTTCCATAAAGTATTCAGTAATCCAATTTGTTTTTGTGGGATTTGCTTGGGTCCGTTTCAAATTATGTTGGGTTGCTGAGGGTCCCCCTCACAATATGCTTATTCCATGGGGTGCACATGAGTCTCTTGCTGACCAAGGAAAGGCTAGAAAGTCTTTGCACTGGTGGGGGTAATGACCATGATCTGGAATTTTCTCAGCAGTGGAGAACTCTGCTTCTGAATAACCAGCTGGAATGTTGAGAGGCACATTGAATACTTTCAAGGTAGCATAAATACACACTATTTTCCTTTATTCTCTACTTTCTAAATGAGCCTGTATAATCAGAAAAAATAAGATATAAAAAGGAATGTAATGTTATATACCTGGAGTTATACTATGTATTTTTTACAGCTATATCTATTGGTAGTGAAAATTTTAGTGGCTTTTAATTTTCCATATTTTCCGCATTTTCTGCAATTATTAATATTTATTAATGAGCACTTGTTAATTATAGAACCAGAGTAATATTTTAGAAATAAAACACTCATTTTTTTCTTAATGAAAACAAGCAGAAAACCTAATTGATAAAAATGAACTCAGATAGAGATCTTAACAGGAAAGGAAGCTTAACGTGTTTGAGAAAAAAATACAGAAAACTATATTTATTACCTTAGGATAGGAAAAGGGTTTCTTAATCAAGGCATAACATACACTAGCCAGGAAATAAAACTTGATCATTTCAACTGCAATGTAATTAAGAATGCATGTTTATCAAAAGCCACCATAAAGGGAGTCACAGGGTTTCCCTGGTGGCGCAGTGGTTAAGAATCCGCCTGCCAGTGCAGGGGACACGGGTTCGAGCCCTGGTCCGGGGAGATGCCACATGCCGCGGAGCAGCTAAGCCATTGCACCACAACTACTGAGCCTGCGCTCTAGAGCCTGCGAGCCACAACTACTGAAGCCCGCGTGCCTAGAGCCTCTGCTCTGCAACGAGAGAAGCCACTGCAATGAGAAGCCCGCGTACCGCAACGAAGAGTAGCCCCCGCTCGCCGCAACCAGAGAAAGCCCGCGCGCAGCAACAAAGACCCGACGCAGCCAAAAATAAATAAATTAATTTTAAAAGAAGAGAGAGAGTCATAGCACAAGACATATTCCTGGAGAAAACATTTGTCACACACACAGCTGAAAAAGTTAGAAATATTTTTTCTATATTAAAATATATAATGTTTTATGATAACGTTTATATTACTAAAAAATATTAGTTCCAGAATATATAAATAACTCATACAAATCACTCATGATAACAACGTGATGGTGTCCAAAGAATGGGCAAAGGACATGAATGGGCACCTCATAGAAGAAGAAACACAAATGTACCAAAATGTATGAAGCTAACCACTCAGCCTTGTAAGTAATCAGAGAAACACAGAGATACCATCATGCATGCAACAGAGAAGAGGCAAAGCTGAGGTCTGAAAAGGCAAGTGGTGATGAGAATGTGAGCAACTAGAACTTTCCTACACTGCTGGTGTTACAGCCACCTAGGAAAACACTTTGGTGTGATCTTGTCAAGTTCAGCGTGTGTGTACACTGTAACCCAGCAATCCCAGTTCTACATATCTACCCGGTGAGAAATGCTTGAATGTGTGCACCTGAAAACAAGTTCAAGAAGATTCAAAGAAGCGCTTTTCATAGTAGCAAAAAACTGGACAGCAGAATAATATGCTATAGCCCTGGAAATGACACTGCAGTGAAAATGATGGAACCCAGCTGCACACATCAGTGTGGCTGTATCTTAGTAACATAAGGCTGAGAAAAACACAAGTCCAACAAGATGATGTACATACAGTACAACAACACTTCTCAAAACTTTGAAACAAGCAAACCTAAACAGTATATTATTTAGGGATGCCCACACAATATGACATAAACACTTTTAAGTCATCAAGGAAATGACAAATACAAAATGGAGATCAGGGGTCCCTCTGTTGGAGAGGCGGGCAGTGGGAAAGGGGAATTACACATTTGTAGCTTCAACCATGCAGTGTATTGGTTGTGTTATACTTTTTAAATTGAGTAAGGGGTTCACAGTTGTTTGGGTCCTTGTGTTTTATAGCTTGGATATGTGTAACACTTTAATATATCATATATCACATCACTTAGAAATGTAACAACTACAGAAGGGAACATGCAGCATGTCCAAAGCCTGTAAGTGGAACTCCTTTGATATGAACTCAGTCTTGACTCGGGATTCCAAACTCTTAAACCTATCTGGTCATGATATATTGTTGCCTTATGAAAGGTGATTTAATTTGAAAATATTTCCGATTATAATCATTGGTATGGGTATGGAGGCATAGACCCATTCCCTTATCCCCACTCTTTACTTCTCAACATCTTCCCAAATGATCATGGCCCCTCGAGGGTACCTAAGAGGGAGGAGGTGGGATGAAGGCTGACAGCACGCTTCCCTAGGGCCCCCTGCACATGAGACCTACCCTACCAGAGAACAGCGTACTGGCCAGACCTCTGGGCATCACCTTCACTGACAGGCCAACCCTCTTGACCTGAATTCATTTTGGGGGCTAGACCACAGAATCCTTTCTTTCTCAACAGAGCTGCTGGTGGGGACAGGGTGGGACTGTGAGTCCTGGGCAGCTGGGGGAGATCAGAGGTCAGGGGCAGTCTGGTGAGGGGATGGGAAAAGCAATTGCCTTCTGGAGGAGGGGGAGGTAAGGGAGACACCCTAAGCCAAGCAGCCACTGTGGCATACATCAGAGACCCCAGGAGGTGAGTGCTGTCAGGACCGTGGGAATCCTCTCCCTTTTCCCCCCGATGAGACACTTAACGGGGTGATGGCTGACCTGGAAATGAATCCAGCTCTTCAATTCCCAGCCCAGGGCACTGTCATGACAACACTCCCTTTTCTTCTCCACAATCCCACCCACGGGCGGTCCCTTACATAATATTCAAAATGGGGAGGTAACGGAGTTCAAGCCGTTGGGAGTGATATGGATGGTTCATCAAAGAAGTAACCAGGCTGTTGTTCTTAGCATTTAAAATTAGGGGCTGTCAAATCTTTAAGACTCACAACAGGGTAAACCGAGACCCAGAAATCCAAGAAGCACAGAGGCCGGCCTAGGTTTTTGAACTTCCTTGCTGCATCTTCTTGAGTTCCCTGGCTGGCCAGCCAGGTATGTCTAATCACGACAAGCCAATAGCTTTTCTGCTCTTTGTTTTCCACCTTCGTGCAGGTGAGCAGAAGCAGGAAGAAAGCCTTCCTGTCCAGCCCCACCCCAAACCCCGGGTCCCCCCCCGCGTCCCCCCCTTGCTTCTCCAGCCTGGCTTCCTTTACCACAACTCTATATAGCCTTTAGCTCAGGGAGCCAAAATTAATCACTGGTGGGGTTGGAGCAACAGCGTTGTTCCTTGGCTCCAATCCAGGCTCCCAGGATGTGCGTCAGAAAAAAGCTGGTGGGTGAAATTCCAAAGCAATTTGAGTCACTGGGGAGGAAGCGAGACCAGGACAGAAGTCACAATGAGAGCCTGAGGGCAGAGCAAAGCAGGGCCCTGGGGGTCAGGGGCTGGGCGAGGCAGCAGGAATGCTCACCTGCCCAAAGATGGGTTATAGGACTCCTACACCGGTAGCTCATCTCTGAGCTCTGCACAGCCCTGGGTGGGGCAGGAACTGACCAGGAGGCCTGCCTGCTGGTTCCACCCCTGGATACAGTAACCATGCCCTTCACCTGGCTCCCCATAGGCTGGTCTTTGGATCCCAGCCCCTAAAAATCCCTGTGGTTGTTTCTTCATGCATTCCCTCCCACTGACCTGGCCCAGGACACTGCTTCCGGACAGGGAATGGTGACAGGCCAGCCGGGCCCCAGAGGAGAGACGGCAGGTAAGTCCATCACTCACGTCCCACCTGTCCCGAGACCACCCTGGGCCCTTTCTCTGTGCCTGGGGAAAAGACAGGAGCTGCAGCGAGCCCTGGCTGCCCCACATGTCCCCACCTGTGCTCACCTGGTTACTCCTAGCACGCAGTACAACGCGGGGTTCTCAGAATGTGATCTCTCGGAAGGAGGGAGGCGTGAAGGCAGCAAGAGGGGCAGGTCGGTTAGGAATCAGGTGTCTTCCCCATCAAGGTGCAGCAGCCCCCTGACGGTGGCCCAGCAACCAGAGGCAGCCAGACTCAGGGCAGGAAGCGGGGTGGGGGGTGGGGCGGGGCGGAAGGAGTGTCCACAGGTGCCCTGCGCAAGCACCTGGCCTGGATCCCACTTTCTCCCTGTGAACCTAGCCAGGAGGGAAGGGGAGGTGGGGGAAGAAAGCTCCTGCAATAACCTGTTTCATCCTGACCAATCAAAGCGGCCACTGGCCAGGATGGAGCCCAGTAACAGCCTGTGATTCTGGGGCCACCCTGGCCCTCAGGCTTACTCTATCTTCTGCCCTTCTGCAGTCTGAAGAGCCGCTGCCCATACCAGGGATGCCTCCACTCTGCCAGTTACCCTGAGCCTGGCCTTTCCTTCAGTCCTACCCCCCAGGCCCTTGTGGCCCCTTAATGACCCCCTCCCCACTCTGGGAGCTCCCTGATTTTTCAGGCAGTGGGATCCATTTCTCCAAAAAGAAACTGAGCGCATCCCTAACCCAACTTTTCACCCTCTCATACTCCCGGCTCACCCAATTTCGTTCTTTTTTTTCTAGTCACACCTGGCCAAGAAATCTCAGGCTTGCTCTAGGAATTCCTTCCAGGGCAGCCAAGATGCCAGGCCAGCCTGTTGTTACTTCCTTGCAAAGCTTTGAGCAGCAGAGTGAGGGAGTCCTTTTGTTTTAGGAACCAGGCTGAGACCAAGGCTTCTTGGGACTCGAGGGTGTGTGGAGCTCACAGGTGGGCGGCCATGGGCCTTGGCAAAAGTGGAGGTGAGCACAGCTTGGCTGAGAGGGGCCATGTGAGGTCACCATTTAAGGATCCAGCTTATCATGTTTACAGTTAACCTTTGCCCCAAGCTCTAAGGTCCAGTAATTTTAGGTCTTCTCTTTGTCATCAGACCCCTAGGACACTAGGGCATATTTCCTCATTTCTAGCTGTTAAGACCTGTCAGTTCCACTGCCGGAGATTATATTTAATATATATACATTATATACACACACGCACACACACATCCCATCAGCTGAGTTAAAAACCCATGCCTTGAGGCACGAAAACATTTCCACATTCTTGACTCCCTGTGGGGCAAGCTGGGGTAAGTGTGGGCTGGAGGGGGACTTTGAGGCAAGTTTCAGCTGGTCCATTCCTGCTTCTGTGCTTTCTGTTTCCCTAAAAACATCATATGATAACATCACACAGTCAGAATTTCAAAACTGGGGGAACATCACCTAACAGCCTTGTCTGGTCTCCCGCAGGAGGAAACTGAAGCCCAGAGATGAAAGCATGGTGCAGGGGCTAATAGCCTGGCGGGGCCACAAACTCCCTAGGTGACTTTCCCAGGCCGTTTTCTGCTCTGGGCCTCAGTTTTCTCATCTGTAAGAGGAAGAGGGTTATTTTTAAATGAATTAAGAACATGTTAATGCTCTAAAATCAGGGCATGAGGTTGGAACGGGCTCAGGGGCTGTACGGTCTCCTCTCAGAGGCTCCGAGCCAGCTGCCAGACTGGAATCCTCGCTCTGCACTGCCCTGACAAGTCACATCACTTCCTGAAGCTTCAATTTCCTCATCTCCCCAGTGGAGATACTAATAGTACCTCCTTACAGGATGGTTTTGAAGTTTAAATAAAGTAGTACCTGTAGCTCAATAGTGGGCATGTAATAAACTCTCAATAAATTATTATTGGGATTTCCCTGGTGGTCCAGTGGTTAAGACTCTGAGCTTCCACTGCAGGGGGCACAGGTTCAATCCCTGGTCGGGGAACTAAGATCCCACATGCCACGTGGTGCAGCCAGTAAATAAATAAATAAAATTTTAAAAATTAATTAATAAAAATTATTATTAGCATTATAATTAAACTTAAATCCCTGGATGGCATCACTATCATTTTATAATTCTCACAACCTCCAGCAGGGTCTGGCCCTAACAGGCAATTATAACATGCGTGAAAGAAAGGCTACATGAACGAATGAGCAAACAGGTCTCATTTTTTTCCAGACACCCAGGATACGTGATGGGACTTGGGTTGCACGGCAGGTCCTGTGCCTTCAGCCTGGCAGGGCCGTTAGTGACCCACGTGGCCTCTGCCTGCCAAACGGCCACCACACGGGCCCTGCAGAGGCAGAGTGCGGTCTGGGCTCTGACTGATGCCCCCCAGCACCAGGGCTCCCCAGCCCTCGGTGCTGTGTGTATCAAATGGCGGACGGGGAGGATGTAAGTGAGGTCCGCTGAAGCCACCCTGCCTCCCCAGGTGTTCCCTGTCAGAGCGTGGAGATGGCGGTGCAGGGTCTTCTTTTGGGGCTAGGATTCTACCCAGAGCTCCAGCTCCCCAAGAGCTTTCTGTGGGCCTCCCCTAAGAGGAAGAAGAGGGATGGGTTGGCAGAAAGGTAGGGTGACCAGGGCTGAACGTTCCAGAGAAACTGGTAAGCCCCAGACTAAGCTGAGGCACGTGTTCAGTGGCCTCTGAAGTGCCTGGACTGTGGTTCCAAGTGGCCACATAGCAGCAACCACCATCCCTGCCACTCTGCCCAGGGGCCTGTGTCACCTGTTCTCTGGGAAGCCTCCAACTCTGAGCACCACGGTCCTTTACCCTCTGTGTCCTCCTGTCAGCCCCACTGTGCCCTGGTCTGCCACCCTTCTCCCCAACTCGCTCCATGTCTTGCCCTGGGGGTCCAGTACGCGGGAATGACCCTGCCCTGCAGAGCAATGCTCTGGCTGGGACAAGTCACATTGGACTCTCCACGCCCACCTTCCCCCTTCTTAGCCATTGAGCCTGTTCTCAACCATGATCTTGGGAGGGGCTGCAACTTCCCGGGGTAGCTGGCTGCTAACCCTGACTGGTTGGAGCCTAAGAGAGGGCTTTTGGGTCCAGAGAAGCCCAGAGACAATGCAATTGCCTGGTTGGTCCCTCACCTCTGCCACCACCTCAGGAAACTTCTGGTCAGCATTCCCTGGCCGCCCACCCTAGAGGACCGTGCAGGGTTGAATAATGCCCATATGGCACTTTAATAATGTCCAGTAATACCTGGTGGTCCACTGGCCAGTTGCCCTCCTCCTCTTTGACCAAGCCAGAGCCATGTGTGTGTATTCTTGTAGAAATCTCTGCCAAGAGGTGTGGGGAGGGAGGGGAGCAGATGGGGAGACAAAGGAGAGGCGGAAGGAGAGAGAAGGGGAGAGAAGCAGAAAAGAAGTGGTCTGTAAATGTGGATGGAGTGGGTCCTTGACAGATCCCAGACTTTGTGGGGACAGAGCTCCGGGGAGCTGGGGAATTCTCTGTCTCTGGTTACAAAAAGGCAGGGTCAGAGTTGATCTTCCAGGTCAACACCCGATTTTACTGAGAACCCCAAGGGCATGGGAATCCAGCTTTGACCTCCAGTGCCTTTCACACCGTTCTCTTTCTTGTGTTGTTGGAATCCAAGCACAAGGAAGACGCCAGGGCCAGGGCAAAGGGTACAGAGTGGGTCTTCAGGGAACTCAGGGTGCAGAGGAGGACCAGGTCCTTTCCTGGATAGCCCCGCACAATCCTTTAACCTGGGTCAAGAGCAGCTCCAACCCCAAACTCAGGTCTGACTACTGACATGCAGCAATGCCCAAGGGCGTGTCTGTTCAGGCTAAGCTGACCTTGACAAGAACACAGCCCTGTACGTGTTTACTAAACAAACCCTGTCCTCTGAGTAGGGCAGCCAAATTTAACCCAGCCTCATTGCCATGGGATTATGTTTTTAAGATGCTCCATTCCTTTATCTGGAAGCAGGAAACAGTAATACATGCTCACAGTGGACCACTTCTGAGGGACAACAGAAAACTTTCCCATCCCTGACACTAATTATTATCTCTGTGAGCTCTAGCACAACCAGCTATCGAGGGAGAAAATCGGGTCAGAAGAGAGGAGGTTGGGGGCTCCTGGACACACACCTCCCCTGCCGCTCTCTCCTAGACCCCTCCCTGCCCCCTCTCGAACACTGCAACCACATGGAAACCTGTGGGGAACAGTTGGGGCTTTTTATAATTTTATTTGTTAACAGTTCAGGCTATTTTTTTTTCATGCTGCAAGTGATGCCAATGCCTCATGAAAATGTTGTGAAAAAAAACAAGTCTATTTTGGGGTGATCGGCCTCCTCAGAGCTTCTCACTTGCAGCTCTGCAGGCTCCGGGAATGGGCCTGCCCTCTCTCAGAAGTTCTGCAGCCTGCCTGAAGTTCAGGATCCCGGGCCCAGATGCACTGGCTAGGGGATGCATTTTTTCCCCCTCTTGTCATTTTCCTGCCTAGAAAGCAGGGCAGGAGAAACACCATCTAGCTTCTTTCTGCTTCCAGCTGGCCTCACTGTGGCTTCCGGTGCACTGTCCTGAGAAATGAACATCCCGGGAGACTCGGAGTGGATCACGTCTTTCCCCCATGGCATTCGTGGTGATGGTACTTGCAGCTCTTTAAAGACATAAGCCAACAAGTGCTCCAATTTCTCTACTGAATGAAGCGCTGTTTCAAAGCTGTAATATCTGTTTCATGGAGGCCTCAGCCAGCTGTGCAGAGCCAGGGTAGAGGGGCTTGGGTGGGTGGGCAGAGGGGTCTACATGCTCAGAACTCTGCTAGCAAGGGCTGGTGGTAGCCTGGCCAGACCTGAATGGGAATGGATTCTTCAGTTCCTGCTGGAAGCAGCCCTGCCAGCAGCCCCACAATGTGGCGGTAGGAAGGCTGCAAGGACCAGCTGGGCTTGGAGGATCTCAAGCAGAATTCACTGCCTCACCTGGTTTGTTCATTTTCTCAGGACCGCCCCCCCCATCCCCGCTACCCCCCAGGCGCTGGGCCAAGGTGGGCCTGAAATTTTCCAACCCTGGTAGGTCAGACTGTCAGAATTCCACCCCCCCCACCCCCCACCCCACCCCCCCGCCGATCCTCGCCCCAATGCCCTCTGTGCTGTCTGCTTTCCATAGGCAGCCCTGGGGTGCACAGGAACACATGGCACTGGTCCTCCGTTCCAGCGTAGGTCTGTGATGGAGAGAAGGCGGAAGTGGAGGAAGAGTTTAAGGGATCACACAATCTCTGATCTCAGCCCGGGAAGATGAGAAAATCATCTAGCCACCCTCTGACTTCGGGCAAGGAATACTGTTATCCTCAGTGGGAGACCAGAGAGATGAAGTTCCTTGACCAAAGTCACAGAGCCAGTTCCTGATGGAGCGGCTACTAGAACTGAGATCGGCTCCTCCTCTGTTTTGGTTTCCTTCACTCTGGGCTCTTGGGGCTGCTGTGGTCCGCATCTCTGCCCTCACTGGGCTTGGGGGTGCCTCCTCTTCCCTTGGCTTCCTTCTGTCTTGTCACCACCCTGCCCCTAGGGGGTTGTCACAGAGATACCCTTCCATTACCTTGAAATGACACAGTGCCATCTGTTTCCAGAGGTCTATGGCTGGCCTCTCCAAGCCCTTTCTTCATCATTCCCTATTTCTCCAGAAGTTCTAAAATGTTCTGTGGCTGAATTGGTCCCCAAATTGTGACTGACCACTTAAGGAAGCTGAAAGTGGGGACGATGGCAGAATGAGGTTCTCTCTCTGCCTCTTACCATGTGTCTAATCCCTCCACCCTCCAGCCCAAAATGCTTCCTTCTGTGCTCAGCCTTGGCAGCCATCAGCTGACATTTTAGAGTCCCAATTTGGGTCAGGAGCTGCTTCAGTGAAAAGGAGAGCCAATTAGACATAGGCCTTCCATGTTAGGAACTCGTATCAGATGTCAGTGCTGGAATGAGCCTCAAAGGTCACCTGACCCAACCCTTGTACATAAGAAAGCTGAGGCCCAGAGAGGTCTGGGAATTGTCCAACGTCACACAGTTGCGTGAGGACGGAATCCAGGCCTCCTGATGGACGGTGGACCGATCTTTCCAAATTACCAAACCAGTTCAGAATGTGCAGACGCCTGCAGCATGGGATGGCCCATGACCCCAGTTCTTGCCCCTCAAGGAGCCCCTTGTCTCCCTTTGATGGCCTCTCTCTTGGCCCCGGGGCTGAGTGTCTCAGCCCATCGGGCCTGGACAGCAGAAGCCATGCTCTTACCTTGAGTAGGACCCTCTGTTCGGGCTGATCGACCTGGTGGTGCCTCTTTGCATTACTCACAGTGTGCTCATTCCTTCTCCCACTCTCTTCCCCTGCCCTGCCCCCTTCCCTTCCATCCAGCCCAACCGGGAGCCTGGAGGGAGCACAGAGCAATGGCAGCCCGAAGAAAAGGCCAGTACAACCTGTGGAAGCCCTCTCTGGACAGCATGTGAGTAGCCACTGTGTGATGTCAACTCCTTCCGCATCAAGTTCTGTACCCCAAACATTCATCCACGCGTCCAGGATTTATTGAGTCCCCCTTGAGTGTCTGTTGCCAGGCGCTAGACCAGCACGAATGGTACTCTTTTGAATAAGCATAGTCCCTTCCCTAAAGCGTCCTCAGTACTGTGAGGGACAGAGAGACCCAATGATACAGCAGGGTGACTGATATTCTTAGGGGAGTGTAGAGGAAGGGCAGGGAACCTAGACTTTGCAGGGGATACTCATGGAAGACTTCCTGGAGGAAGTGACATCTAGGCTGAGATTTGAAGGATGAGTAAGCATTATCCAAGTGAAGGGGGTGGAAAGAGGAAGGGTGTTCAGGCTGAGGGAGTCACTTGAGCAAAGGCCCAGAAGATCCCTGTCTCCTCGCAGAGACCTGAAATTCCCCACAAGCCCTGGGCAAGGAGGCTGAGAGACTCCAGGCTTCCAGATTCGGCTCCTTCACCCTGCAGGGGCTCTGCATCTTGAGAAGTCTCTGACTCTACGCATTGCTGGAGATAGGGTCAGCCCACGTCAGAAGGCCTGTGGGGTGGGCTTCACAGAGGCTCGAGTGTTCCAGGAGAGGGGCGAAGAGAAGACAGGCTAGCAGCCCACAAATAGTTGAAGGGCTGAAGCTGCTTGGGAAGCAAATGGAGCATGCAGGTTGGAGGAAGGCACAGTGGGAGGGGTCTGCATAGCTTGGGCTGGTACCAGGGAGGGACCTTCAGAGCCACCGGGAGAGGAGGGCTTGGTGGCACTGGCTGAGAGCCTGCTGCATGGGTGCATTCCTGAGAACCCGATGGAGAGTTCTTTCCCCAGACCAGCCTCCTGCCCACGGGCTTCAGGAAAACGGTAGCGCTTGATGTCCTGGAGGAGGGCGGTTATGGGGATAGATGGAGGGGGTGACTTTGGGGGACAAGTTCAAGGGGTTTATGTCATTGGGCAGGAGGAGTCACAAGAGGACTGTGGTAAGGGAAGAGATTTTTGGGGAGGCGGGAAACTAGAAGGGAAAGAACCCCTCAGGCTGCAGCCAGGTACTGTCGCCTCAGGGCAAGTAAGCCTGGCGAGGAAGGTCCTTGCCTGGGCTACCAGCAGAAAGGCAGTGTGGACACCCAGCCAGCCAGTGATATGGGGGAGTCAACAGCCCATCCTGAAGTGCTCCGAAGAAACACACAATGGTTCCAAGCTGCAGAAACTGGGAAGAGGGGGCTGGTGTGTGTGTGTGTGTGTGTGTGTGTGTGTGTGTAACAGAAGAAAGCAGGAGGCAGAGAGGAAAGGCCAGGAGCCTTTCTAGAAAAACTTCCCACCCAGGCCTGACTTGAGACATACAGTTGACCCTTGAACAACAAGGGTTTCCACCGCGCGGGTCCACTTACAGGCAGATTTTTTTCCAATAAATATGTATACAGTTGGTGCTTCGTATTCACAGGTTTCTGCATCCGCATGGAAACCTGAGAATAGGGAACACCAACTATGTTCATTGTACTTTGCCATTTTATATAAGGGACTTGAGCATTTGAGGATTTTGTTATTCCTGGAGGGTTCCTGAAACCAATCCCTAGCAGATACCAAGGAATGACTGTAATCTGAAGGGAGGAAAATGGATGCCCCGGGGCTGGGGTGGGTCGGGTGCAAGGTGAGGGGGAGGGGGGCAGGCCGCCTGCACTATGAGAGGCTGCTGAGGGCTGGGAGCTGGGGCCTGGGACAGAGGGCTCAGAGCGGGCCACTGACAACTCCTTGGTTGCTGGCGAGGGACCCAGCCTCAGGGAATGGCCCTGTTTTCCATTGGAGGGCTGGCAAAGATGAAGCAAACATGGTAGCCAGATCCTTGGCCTGGGAGCCAAGATCTTGAGGCTGTCTTGAGTAGCTGGGAGGCGTGAATTGAGGGCCAGGGTTGGGTGGGAAGAAGGCCTGGCATTGGCCATAGTTGGGGCAGAGGCTGAGGGCTGGGTCTTGGTAGTGATCTGCCTCTCGAGTTGAGAATCTTCAGTTGCCCTGATGAGGAGAAAAGGCTGGGATCTGGTGCCTCTTTCTCCATAAAGAGAAAGGGCGCATAGCTGCAAGCCCTGTTGCCCCATGACTTTGGGGAGAGGTCAGTTCTCTTTTCCCGCTCTGTGCTGCATTGGGGCTCTGCCTGTTGCTGGGATGTGTGAAACATGAAGCCAACAGGCTGGCGCTCTGGAGTGGGTGGAGGGATCAGGATGTCAGACACCCTGGCCCCCCAATGGTGCCCATGCAGAGATCTCATGCTGTGCTCTTGGCGTAGAGGATGGGGTGAGGCTCTTCAACACCAAACCTGTGGGAGGAGCACACCTGTACACAGTTGAGTTTCTTTCCTAAGCTTGTGTTCAAACCATTACTCTGTTTTATGAAGAGGGGATCCTAACTAGTAGCACCCTCGATCATGCTTAATCTCTTTTCCAGCTCTAGGTAGATTCAGAAGGAGGTGGGGGAAGCATCCCTCACCGATCACGCACTTACTGAATGTGGACCAGGCCGGAAAGCATGAACACCTTGGTGGGCAACATCCAGCTATATGCATTCATAGATGGGAAGCATGCTTCAGACAATACAAAATTCATTTTTTATTTGGCTTTATTTTTTGGCAATTATATGTTGCAGAAACTAGTATTAAAGTGGATTTGCATTCTCAGAGCGCAAGTTGGAGGTGTGACGGAGGGGGTTAAGGGGGAGGCATGTCAATCTGGGCTTTAAAAATTGTCCAGAGGTAATCGACAAGATGGATAAAACCAGACTGAGCTGACTACTGTAATTACTAGCAGTCAAGATCCTCATAATCAAACTAGTCTTGAACATGGAAACTTCCTTTGAGGACCACTCACGTTACAGATGTCATCCCTTGTAATCTATTTTACAGAATTTTGAGACAGAGAGCCCAAAGGTGCCTTAGGTAATGTCTCCAGGGCTAGTGTCTTCCTGGCATTTCTTTCAGAGGGCAGAAGATACTGGTGAACGCCAGGTGGCAATAGGATGAATGTGGGATGGAAGTGGAGCCTGCTGGAGAAGAGGGACTGGGGGGGGGGGGGGGGGCGGGGAAGGCTTAGATGGGAAACAGGTGCAGATGGTACAGGGCCCCACCCTGAAACTCATTAAGGGGCGTGGAAATTGGAGACATAGGCTGTAGCTGCAGGGGTGATGATGGAGGGAGGAAGGTCCTCAAATGCCAGAAGAACGCCCCTGCCGGCAGCGGAAACGCTGTCTTCCTTTTCCCATGGGAAGCCGTGGATGCCTGGGGCTAAGTAAGGGTCAAGGCAAAAATGTCGAGTTCCCCTTCCCTAACTCGCACCCCTTTCAGGGCGGGCTAGGATGCTCTAGGAGTTCTTTCTCAGCCTCCCGGAGGAAAGGGGGGAACCCCGTGGGAGTCCAGTGCGGTTTTGATCCTCGCCAGGTAGAGGGACGCTGCCCCAGCACGGGTGGCGAGCCGAGACCCCCTACGCCGCTTCCCTCCCGGAGTCGGGGGAGGTGGGGGGGAGAGTAGAAGGAGCAAGCGGCGCCGCGAGGCGGGGCAGGGGGCGGGGCCTCCGAGACGCCCAATCCCCTTATTTCTCCGCCCATTCCCCGCCCACCGCCCCCTTTCCGCCAACGGAGCGCCGAGATGGGCGGCACCTGTCACGGCTGGCGTCCTGGGTACGATTTTGCCCCACCTTTTTTTCCTGCCTTCTTGCTTTCTTTTTTTTTTTCCCTTTCCCTTTTTTGTGAATGAAAAAAGGAGGTCGCAAGCGATCCCTGGGACTGCGGCGCTAGGCGTCTTCGTGGCCGCGCCTTCGGAGCGGGCCCGGGCGCGTAGCAGTGGCGGCCTCGCCACTCTAGCCCACTGCTGCTCGCCGCCTCCAGCCTCCGCAGCCAGAGGACCGTTGGCGGCGGCGCGGCCCAGTCGCGGAGGTCGGAGCGGCCGGCCAGCTGCCCGGCTCCGGCGCGCCTCCATGACACGGGGCGCCGGGGGCGCGGGGAGATGCTGATCCGGAAGAGGCAATGGCTGCAGTGCCGTGCGCGTGGCCGCTCCCTGCCCGCCGTCCGGCCCGGGCTTCTGTGTCAGAGTTTTTGATCTAACGCGAACCGGGTACGGAACCTGAGCGGCAGCAGCGCGACGGCGCCGGCATCGTCCTAACTTGCACGCGCGGAGTGACCCCAGCCATTTCACTAAAATGAGCGTGCTTAGCAGGAAGAGATGTGTTCCTTACACTAGAAATTACCCCGTCACATGTAGCGGTGTAAGTAAATGATTAATTTCTGTTATGGCTGGGTTGCAAGCAGCCTCTGGAAACGCGCCGCTTCCCCGCTCTGCGTCCTCCCGGGCCCTGTCTGCGCCCCTCCTGACTTCCCTTGGGCTTCCGCTCTGGCCTGGGCTATAGCTTCGGCTGCTGGGGTCTTAGCGGGCGAGGGACTAACATTTTCTTGGTTTATCTAGGGAAGGGAAGATGACTTGATTGCCGTGGCGTGTCGTGGCCTTCCCCCTTCCCCATTTACAATTTAAAAAAATTTTTATTTTGTATGTATGTGTAGAGCAGCGTGCAGGAAAAAAGGTCCAGGGTGGTGGAAATGTTTCCGTTAAAAACCAATGGAATGTATTTTGCTCGCTGTTCTGGAGATGTTTCTTTCAACACACTCCATTGCAGTCTGTGCGTCTGAGTTCTGGCAAACTACTGGGAGAAATCCTTAGGGCTGTTTGTTGATGTTTGAAGAGGCTTATTCTGTGTTTAGGCTTGCATTTTTTGTTAATATGACCATTCAGGATCCCTTTGGGCCCCGCCGCCCATCGGGCCTGTGGAGGGATTCATCTCTTTGCCTTCCCCCATGTTACAATGTCAGTGGCCTCTTTTAATTGGAAGGCCACCCTCTCTGCTTTTCTCTTCCTGATCGTATACATCCTCCTTGATTTTTACCTTCATTTTTAAGATATTTTGTATTTTGTGTAAGATGCAGGATGTGGGATATTGGTTGCTAGGAGACAAAGCAGGCTCCCAGGGAGATTCTGTTGTTTCCTTGACAACCAGACTAGGGCAGCTACAGATGAACAAGCCTCCTATCAGCTGTGGGAGGGAAAGAGGGGCTTTTCTGGGCTCTGCAAAGAGTGTGTGTAGGTGTGTGGGTGTGGGACTGGGAGCCCGTGAGTGTTGCAGCTAATCTGAGCACACCTTTCATTTTGGCCTGTCCTGAGTTCAAAGAGCTGGGAGAGCAGTGGGCAGGAGGCCGTTTTTGGAGAAGGGAACAGGGCTTGTGGGTTGGGGTGGGAAGGGAGCACCTACGTGACGCTGGAATCATTGAGGGAGAGGAGTGGCCTGGGGTCGTGACAGCCAGGGCAGGGTGGCGAGGAAGCCGTAGCGTACGGAGGTTGGCCAGGAGGCTCAGAAGGAATGGGGATGAGGCAATTGTGCAGAAAAGTCTAGAGTCATTGAAGGAGAGAGTGCTAGAAAGAAAGGGGAAGTTGAGAAGCTTACTGAGTGGGTTGTGCCGTTGTACATAAGCAGTGATACAGTAAAGTAGCAATATTCTTGAGCAAAAATTACATTACTGTTGGCAATGGCACCATATCTCCAGTACAGGTCCTTTTAAAGACAGGCCTGATTAGACTAAGAGTTCTGCTGGCTTAATTGGGCCAGTGTGTATCTTAAAGAGAGATATAATTACACATATAGATATGTAATCCAGCATTATATAATACCACATTACATAAGAAGGCAAATACCTCCTTTCGGCCCAGGATCTCTTGGCATGGATTTACCAAGATTCAGGAGACTTTCTCCGGGAGCCCTCATACCCATTTTCCAGAAGGGCAGATTGCGGCCCAGACAAGTGAAGTGATTTGCCCTTTCCCAGATCTGACAATGAAGTTTGCCAGTCAGGCAGCCGGCACAGGGGTGGAGTGGGTGAGAATGATAAAAATCAGGAGGAGGTCAAAGGACATGCAGGGGAAGGCCTCAGGGGCAGCTGGGGAACGAATGGGGAGTGGCTGCTCAGCTGGAGCTGCACCCAGCAGGTCTGCTGGCTAAACTCACAGCACAGTGTCGCTCTCCTGCTTGTTGCTTAGCTGTCCCCTACTTAACCATAGAGGTGCATAAGGTGTGCCTGAGTGTTTGAGTCATAGACTCGATGATCTTGGACCAGCACTGAACTGCTCTGCTGGTGTTCTGACATCCTCCTCGCCATCCAGCTGCTCCTGGATGTAAGAACCGATGTGCCTGCTCCGTACCTCCTCATCCCCCCTTCTGCCTACACACCTCCATGCTGCTGGAATCTGAATTTGAGAAAGAAGTTCTGTGGGCTAGCAGGTGGTTCTCTTTCTCCTACAGCTGCAGGTATTTGTATTTGGGATTCTATCTGTTTTGTTCTTCTGTCGATAAAACAGAAACCACAACCCAGAAGATTCCTCCTAGCGCCAACACATCCTCCCCGCTGCCTGACTTGAGACCAGGACCTGTCAACATGGGGTTCCCGGTCCTCAGTTCAGGAGAGAGAGCAGCGGGGAGGCAAGATGGTCGGTAGAATGGTGGTTGCTTGCTGGGGAGGGCGAGCAGGGGCAGAGGAAGGAGAAGGAATGAGGCAGACAGTTGTGCTGGAGACTGGCGGGGGGTGGGGGGGAGCCTGCACGGAGACCCCTTGTTGTTTAGATCCTGTAAAATTCCAAGGGGGAGGCGCTTGTCTCATTGAAAAGTCCTTGCTGTACTTTTTGCTTAGGTGGCTGAGATGCATCTACTCGAGCAAATCCTAGTTGCCATCGTTACTTGGATATTTCAGGTCTGCATTCCTGCCTGCTGGCATCCAGTTACAGCCCAGCATGGTGGCCTGACTCCTGGGCTGGATGGCTCAGCAGTGAGGGTGCCTGGGCAGCCTCCAGGACTCCTCTGAGCTCAGCCTTCCTTGGCCTAGGAAGGATTCCTCCAAATTGCTCCAACCCCCAGCTGACTTCAGGTGCACAGGGAATGTGAGCAGGGGCAGGCCAATGACCCTGGCAAAACCACGCTTCCGAATAACGCCCGCATCTACCCCTACCCTCTCTCTTCCACTCTTCCAGGAGGTGGATGCCACCTGGGAGGCTGCCAGCAAGAGCCCCTTCAAGCCGAGGGCCCCCTCCTAGTGACAGCTTTTTAAACACTGACATGACATTTTGACTACCGAAGGGACTTCTGTTTGTTAATCTGAGCAATCCCTCTCTGTGGGTGGGCAAGCCACTTCCTCTCTACCCAACACAGAAGGAAACTAAGGCAAATATTTGCCCAGAAATTCAGGCCCAAGTTTCTGACCCTCTGCTTCCCCATTACCCATGCAGTCAAGTTAGCGAGCATCCTTCCAGGGTTGCCAGTGTCTGGGGGCTTCCAGCCTGAGAATCCTCCTCCCCAGGAAGGAGAAGTGTGGAAAGGAGTGTATCTCACTTCCCCTGAAACTGGATGCAGGATGCTTGGAGGGTAGGCCTGGGTAGGGGATGGGTAGGCCCATTGGTCTCTTAGCCGTGGGGTGTATCATCCCAGGCCCGTAGTTACCCCCATTGCCATCTCAAAACAGGGCCTGCTGCTGAGTGAGCCACGTAGGCAACGGGACAGACCCAGAGGAGGAGAGGGGAGGCCTGTGGACTGCTCAGGTGCATGCAGAAGCCCCTTCAGCCCAAAGAGCCTGGGCTGAAGAACTCCGGCATCTCCATAAAGGGGGCCGGGGTTGAAGGATAGCCATGGGCAGGCTGGGGCTTGGAAATCCACAACCAGAGAGGGAGAGGGACAAAGGTGGAGGCCAGGAGAGCTGCTGCCCAGCTTTGACAAGTCCATTAAATTTTAAAGCGGCCCTGCCCTCGGGCATGCTGGGAAGGGGTGGGGACCTGGCCATGACTCCGCTTCTCTCAGCTGTTTGTTGTTCTGCTGCCACAGCCCTGCTGGCTGGAGAAGGAGAGCGGGTGATGACTGAGCTTCCTAGGCAGACACTTCTCTTCCCGGGAGGGTGGGGACTGGCCCTGGGCAGACTCCGCCTTGGCATCTCTCTCAGGCATCCCCCCCATCCCGAAGCCCCACCGGAGGATGGCGGCAACAGGAGGGAGACCAGAGGTTCACCTGGTGGAGCTGCGCCTCTCAGCCTGAAGGGGCTCCCGTCTCCTCGGCCCCTGCAGAGCTCTTGGCCAGAAAGCCGCCCGCTCCTTCCTCCTCCTCTCCGCTCAGATGCTTGGGGAGGGGTCAGCCCTGGCTGAGGAGAGCCCCGGCCCTCCAGGGGCTGGCATGCATAGCTGTCTTCACCGCTTCTCTCCTCTCCCTCAGGTCCCAATTAATGGATTCTGACATGGATTATGAAAGGCCAAACGTAGAGACCATCAAGTGCGTGGTAGTGGGGGACAACGCTGTGGGCAAGACCAGGCTCATCTGTGCCCGGGCCTGCAATGCCACCCTCACCCAGTACCAGCTGCTAGCCACCCATGTGCCCACAGTTTGGGCCATCGACCAGTACCGGGTGTGTCAGGAGGTAAGGCTGGGCGTCCGGTGCCGCACATCTGGGCTTCTTCCCCAGGGATCACTCCAAACGGGGCCTGTGCCTAGCTCATGGAAGCCCCTTAGGGGTCGGGTGGAGGCAGCTGAAGAGCAAGGAGCCCTGGGAGGGAGGCCTGAGAGGAGTGCCCCCCTCCAGGGGAGGGGTCCTTGGCCCTTTGTGTTTTGCACGGCTGAGCTGGTGCCTGGGGCGTAGCATCTTGGGTAATCATAGCCCCCAGTAATGGGGAGCCCTGAAGGGGGAAAGGGGTGGTGCTTTGGAGAGATGAGAGCTGGCGGTAGGGAAGAAGCTGCCAGCTAATGATACCAAAAGATCAGAGGCTTGGAAGTGTCCAGTTGGCAGGTACAGTTGGGAACAAGGGCAGGCTCCCTGCGAGATCCCGTCCACTGCCATAACGGTCTGCCCTCTGAGAGTCTCTCACCTCCTGGCCAGCTCTTGTTAGTGAGTCTGCAGAGATGGCACCTGGATGAAGGTGTTTTAAGGTACACGTTGGGAGGCACTGGCTGTCCCTCCAGCCCCCATGTTGCAGGACCCTCAGGAGTGAGCAGGCACGCAGGGCCTCCAAGAACCGTTGCCCTAGATTCCTGTCCCCCTCCCTGCCCCCACAGGTGCTGGAACGTTCCCGAGACGTGGTAGATGATGTCAGCGTGTCCCTCCGCCTCTGGGACACCTTTGGAGATCACCACAAAGACCGTCGCTTTGCTTATGGGAGGTAGGGAAGGCCCCCGGCTGCCTGCGGGGAGCCAAGTGGATGGCTTTTCCCTGCTTTCCCCGAGGTATGAAGCGCCTCTGTGACACTGAGCCTGGCAGGAAGGAGTGGAGAAAGCAGCACGGGCAGACCCGTGAGGGGGCGGCAGCCTGGGTGGCTTGCGATCAGGGCGCCTGGTTTGAGTCCTACCCTGTTAAGCAGTGGCTCTGGGACTCTGAGCAATTAGGAGAGCTGTTCTGAGATGAGTTTTCGCAGATGAGATGGTAAAAAGTGGTCATTCCTAACTCACAAGAGAGCTATGAGGTCAAAACAAGAGTCTTTGGAAGCTCTAAAATGCTAAGTTAGGGGTGCATAAACTAGAGGTTCTGTTATTATACGTTTTGGGTAAGATCGTGTGAGCAGATCCATATGACAGACGTGGGACTGTAGTGTAGGGGGTGCAGGTGGGTATGTGTGTTCTCCCTCGTTCCAGGGGCAGGTAACCTACGACTAGCTTTCTTTGCCTGTAACCTCACTCTCCCACCGCCAGATCCGATGTGGTGGTTCTGTGCTTCTCCATTGCCAACCCCAACTCCCTCCACCATGTCAAGACCATGTGGTACCCAGAAATCAAACACTTCTGCCCCCGAGCACCTGTCATCTTGGTGGGCTGCCAGCTGGACCTGCGCTACGCCGACCTGGAGGCTGTCAATAGGGCCAGGAGACCCTTGGCTAGGTAGGGGGTGCTGGTGCCTAGGGAGGGGAAGGCGGCAGATGGGGTGCCGGGCGTGTCTCCAGGCTTCCTGCTTAGTCCTGAGGGAATCCACTAAGCCTCACATCTCTCCCTCCATTTGAAGCGAGCTCATGTAGGGAGACAGCAAGAGCTCTCATTCTTTCATTCATCCGTCCATCCACCCATCCATCTATCCATCCCGCTATCCATCTGTTACACTGAGTGGGCCAATGCTGGGCTAAGCATTGTGAGGAGAGAAGGAGAGGGAGTCTTTGGGAGTCTTTGCATGAAAGGAGCTCATAATCTTGCTGGGAGGTGAACTTGATAGGTGAACATGTTAAAAACCAACGTGGAATGTTGCATGTTAATTGCCAGACAGGTGGTTATCGCTACCACTGTTTTGAGCTGGGGAGATCACCAGGGCCTGGCATAGATATGGAGGGCTTCCTGGAAGAAGAGGCGATTGGAAGTGAGCCTTGAAGGACTAGTAGGATTTAGCGAGACAGAGGAGAAAGGGAGTGGAAATGAGCAGGGCAGGAATGGGTCTTAGGACACAGATCCTGAGCAGAGACCCTCCAGCCTGGTGAAGAACAGACAGGCTCTGGAGAGCTACCTCTCCCTGCCCCCCACTCTTTACCACCAACATGAATTTGGCTTCCCTTCTTGAACCTGCCAGGCCCATCAAGCCCAATGAGATCCTTCCCCCGGAGAAGGGTCGGGAGGTGGCCAAGGAGCTGGGCATCCCCTACTACGAGACCAGCGTGGTGGCCCAGTTCGGCATCAAGGACGTCTTTGACAACGCCATCCGTGCAGCGCTCATCTCCCGCCGGCACCTGCAGTTCTGGAAGTCCCACCTCCGCAATGTGCAGCGGCCTCTGCTGCAGGCACCCTTCCTACCCCCCAAGCCGCCTCCCCCCATCATTGTGGTGCCCGACCCCCCCTCCAGCAGCGAGGAGTGCCCCGCCCACCTCCTGGAGGACCCGCTGTGCGCAGACGTCATCCTGGTGCTGCAGGAGCGTGTGCGCATCTTTGCCCACAAGATCTACCTCTCCACTTCCTCCTCCAAGTTCTACGACCTGTTCCTCATGGACCTGAGTGAGGGGGATCTGGGGGGCCCCTCAGGGTCAGGGGGCCCCTGCCCGGAGGACCACCGGGGTCACCCTGATCAACACCACCACCATCACCACCACCACCACGGCCGGGACTTCCTGCTTCGGGCAGCCAGCTTTGATGTGTGCGAGAGCGTGGAGGAGAGTGGGGGCTCCGGGCCCGCTGGGCTCCGGGCTTCAACTAGCGATGGGATCTTACGGGGCAATGGGACAGGGTACCTGCCTGGGAGGGGTCGAGTGCTATCTTCCTGGAGCCGAGCTTTTGTGAGCATCCAGGAAGAGATGGCAGAGGATCCACTGACTTACAAATCCCGGCTGATGGTGGTGGTGAAAATGGATAACTCCATCCAGCCGGGGCCCTTCCGGGCTGTTCTCAAGTACCTGTACACAGGGGAGCTGGACGAGAATGAGCGGGACCTTATGCACATCGCCCACATTGCTGAGCTGCTCGAGGTCTTCGATCTGCGCATGATGGTGGCCAACATTCTCAACAATGAGGCCTTCATGAACCAGGAGATCACCAAGGCCTTCCACGTCCGCCGGACCAACCGGGTTAAGGAGTGCTTGGCAAAAGGCACCTTCTCAGGTATGGAACGTGCTTAGGAGCTGATGTCCAGAAGGCGGGGGAGTTCCCTCCAGGAGCCTTCTGAGGTCCAAGTAGCATTCTAAGTCATCTCAGCTGCTGATGTCCTGGAGATACAGTGGCTCTGCCCCTGAAGCCCAGCGTCCCCAGCCTGAGAGCGTGGTCACATTGTGCTTCACAGCCTGTGGCTCGGAAGGAAGCAGGTTGTCTGGGCGCACTGTTGACCCTTGGGGTTGGTTGTCCCACGTTCTTTCCCCACGTGCTCACGTGATGCCTCTTCTCCACCCGGACAGATGTGACCTTCATCCTGGATGATGGCACCATCAGCGCCCACAAGCCCCTGTTGATCTCCAGCTGTGACTGGATGGCTGCCATGTTTGGGGGGCCGTTTGTGGAGAGTTCCACCAGGGAGGTAAGGCTAGGATGGGAATGGTTGGGAAAGAGAGGGACTTACTCCCTTCCCATCTGAGGCATCTGTCACTTAATGGTACTTTCCTCAGCCTTGACTGTGTGCACGTCACTGAGTGATGGGCCCGAGAGAGGTTTATGAGATGGTTCCCACAGCCAAGGACTTTCCAGTATACCAGGCTAGGGAAATACGGTAACATCTTAAGTCTACAGTTGAGAAGACACTTTCGATTCGTTGTCTTATATTGTCTCACACGAGACTCTTATAGCGTAGCCTTCCACTTTACGTGTAAGGAAAGTGAGGACCTGAGAAGTTAAGCGACTCATGCAAAGCTCTGTAAGTAGAAAGGAGAGGGTAGGACTGGAACTCAAGACTTCTGATTCCTTGGCTGTATACATTGTACCTTGCTTTCTCCCGGACGCACGTGAAATAACTAGAAAAATATTCAGTCTGTCCCAAACTGAATCCATCACTGTTTTTAAATGTAGGTTTTATTATAATTGAGGTATGGTGAAGCCAACAGATCAGGAAAAAACTGCCATTAAAAAGATAGATTGTTATACTCACAGATCTCAATGGGAGGGGTACACACAGCATCTGGGGACATGCAGGGAAGCACCAGGTTGGGTCGTGCGGCAGAGGGAGTAAGGGGGACTGTGGGCAGGAGCCTTTATTGTCTCTTCCCTGGGAAGGAAGAGGTGAAGCAGGGTAAACAGGCTTAGGGTTGGCTAGTTTGAATAATTTCATCAGGCTCTGGGGCATAGGGGCTGTCCTGAGTCATCTGGTACCTGGCCCTGGGGTACTTAGGGCAGGGGGAGAGTGGCCTGGAGTGTGAGAGCAGATGAAGGCGACAACTGGGGGTGTGGGCTCTGCATTGTTTGGTTTGCATATGAAAGGCATGATCTCAGGTGAGGCCTTCATTATCTCTAGGAAGTCCCCCTAGGGTCAGCAAGGCCCCAAACTGCAAAGCATCAGAATACAGAAACTAGAAAGAAACACTTCATGCCATCACCCTTCCCTTAATCAGGGCCACTCCAACCCCCTGTTCTCACTGATACCGCTGCTTTCTTGGGCACCTAGACTGGAAACACAGAGTTGGAAGGGGCCTATCAGTGTGTCCTTAGAAATATCCTCTTAAGTGTGTTGTCTCGAGTCTGTTCTCGCCTTTCCATTCTCCCAGCCAAGCCGAGCAGCCCGGGCCGTGGCCCTGTTCTCCATCTTCTCTGAAGTCCTGCAACATTGACTGTCCATCACTCAGCCTTGCAGTTAACAAGGCCCTTCTTTGTGCAGTGGCTTCAAGTTCTGAGGGTCCACACCCCGTTTCCCCAGCTGGTTTGTGGTTTCTCTTGAGTGTAGGGACTAGGTCTTTTACTTCTGCTGAGTACCCTTCCTCAGCACTGGTCCCTTAGTCAGTGCTCAGCAAACACTTGAATGAAAAGCTAGACGAAGAACAGTGCAGCAGAGCGTCCTATGATACAGAGTAGGGATTTCCTAAAATTTCTGGGAAGGACGTCCTTCCAGTAGGCGAAGTGGACGGGTTCAGATTTGAGTCGTCTGTGCTCCTTGAAGCGTGAGTTGGGTTGGGATGTGCAAAAGTGTGAGGCTGGGGACTCTCCAAAGCCGCGGGGCCCACCACTACCACAGAAGCAGCTGTAAAGCTCCAGCGGATCCCCAGTGTAGCCTGGAGAGGCTGGCGTCTGATGAGAAAGCAGTTTTTGTGTTAGTTCTGCTCTGAAGAGATCCCAGAGGCCCAGAGCAGCGGCTTCAAGCAGCCCGGAGACACCAGCTGATGTCTGCTTTGCTCATTCGCATCCCACTTGCACTGCTCCCTGAAGGGCTGGGAGGGGCTGGTGCAGGGGACCAGAAGGACTCCTTCACACACCCTCCAAGCCGGAAGGATGCTAGCAAGAGTCCAGGTCCTTTTAAAAGCTGTTGGAGGGCTTCCCTGGTGGCGCAGTGGTTAAGAGTCCGCCTGCCGATGCAGGGGACACAGGTTCGTGCCCTGGTCCTGGAAGATCCCACG